GGATCGAGTCGCCTTCAATAAAAAGTAGTCACTTCTATGCTAGCAAAATAGATTAATTTAGAAATTCCAAAAACCTGCTAAAGGTGTATGATTGGCAGCGCCGTACGGTTGCGAAACATTGACCGTGGGTGCGGCGGAAAAAGAAAGGTTCAAAATGTGATGTTACCGGCAAATGATGAGGATACCGTGGATAGAGAAGGTTAGAAATGAAGAGGTATTAGAAAGAATAGGAGAACAGAGGACTCTACAGAAATCAATAAAAAATAGGCAAGATAGGTTGGTAGAACACCTTCTCAGACATGAAGGTCTAGTGAGAGACATATTAGAGCAGCCGTGGGGGAACCGGAGTAAATTACCCCAAATGAGGTAAAAATGAAATTTTTGGGGGTAAAAATGAAACCTTTGTGAGTAAAAAGTATATATTTTTAATTTGCTATTTCATAAACCTGTTTCAATTTTAACTTAAAAACGAAGACCAGAAATCGATTAAACGCCGAAGACTGTATTCAAATCGCTCTTACATCAAAAAGTCCCAATTTTGAAGCAATTGTATCAAACATGAAACAACATCATTTCTCCAAAATAAAAAATATTTTTTATGGGGGCTATATATAAAATTTAAACTAGTTTCTTCGTCTAATAATACAAGAAAAATATCATATGAATTACAAAATAACAAGAAATTATCATTTACTTATATTTTCTGTGGAGGCGAATTTTTTTTCCTCAACTGTATATTACATATATTACTATTATTACCGTTATGTATTACTAGGTATTACAATGATAAATAATTGAATAAATGTCTAAATTAAATTTTTAGTTATTGTTTTCTTTTCAAAATTATCATGGGGGCTATAATATGAAAAATGCTAAAAAGAGGCGATTTGGTTTTTTTTGCTCTTTGCCATGGGGTAATATCAACTTACACAAAAATATTTTGGGGTAATGATTAAAAAAGTTCCCCGACCGCTGTATTAGAGGCAGAAACGGGAGTTAGGAGGAGTAGAGGTAGACCTAGATTAGATTAGTGTTCGCAAATAGTTAAGAACTTGGGATGTTCTAGTTTTAAGGAAATGCGAAGATTAGCTCAGGAAAGGAAAGAGTGGAGGTACATGTCCAACCAGTCTTAGGACTGACGATCTTATGACGTTAATGTTAATGAATGACTGTTAGAAGTGTATTATACTTTGATGAACGTATTTTTAACTTCTGAGTCAATGCTTTGAACTTACCTTTCCTTTAGGACGTTAGAGTAAAATTTTAACAGGTAGCTTGTGATTGTAGGGTTTCTACTCTATATGGAATATTGTCTTATGATAAAATAGTTATGAGTTAAAAATACTTTTTTCTGTTTTCATTAGCAAATATCTTTTAAACTGCTTAATACAGTCTGATTAAATTCGAGGAAGTCCTAATCCCTTGTTAATTTTAAATCGACTGCCTTTCTAGTATTTCACACATCTTTTACCGTTTTTCAACTATGAGACACTAATAAATACACAAATAAATCTACGGTAGAAAAACATTATTATATATGTGATGATTGTTATGTGTCTTGTAATTCGTTCGCTCAATACGAGGGTGGATTGATAAGTTTCCGGCCTAACCAAGAGATGACGCCACTAGGCCTACCTTGAGGTGACATTCTATAGTACCATCCTTGGATAGCTTGTAGCTATAGTTTCAGCCCGATCTCCTTGCTAGTGTAGGTTTGACAGCACGCTGAACAAGACGCCTCTGTGGTTTTCGTAAAAATGGAAAAGCAGGAAAATCGT